AAAAATTTTGCATACACACTCTCTTCATCTCAATAATTAATCCAAAAAAAAAAGAAGTGCAATTTGAACCCCTAGATATGGTCAAAATGAGTCCCCTCCAACAATGAATCTAGGCCATTTATTTGGTGAATTTCTAAATATTAGCCTTTACAAACGTAAAATCCTTTTTTTTCCTTTTTTCACATTGTTTATCTACTGATAATAAAGTCATCTAAAAAAATTGAATAAGAAAAAATACTTCTCAAGCGTAGATCTAAGCATATTATCAAAATGGACATCATATGTTAAATGGGCTAAAAAAATACTTTCTAAGTTGCATTTTCAAATTTATGTTTTTTGTGATTGTTCATTAGAATGAAAAGAATGTATATTTTAAATTTTGGACCTAACATGTTTTTTGAAGACTGTTGCATTATATTACTATACAACTGTTGCATGAAATTACTGGCATATACACAAACGCACACACACACACACACAAAAATTATTATTTATATATTGTAAAATATTTTATAATAAAATTTGGTTTTCTTCTATTTAGATCCAGACTAGAACCGAATTGGTTGGGTCTAAGTCTAGTGACCTAGACCGAACACAAGTCCTAGTTGGATCTGGTTTCAGCTAAGACCTAGTTGGGACAAGTGCGGGTCGAAGTCAAAACGAACCAACCCAACCCATCAATACCCTTACTTAAAGGTGCTATTACCCGAGGAAGTAAATAGATAGTATGCTCCCACAAGTACACAAAAGCACTTTAGCGTACATGATAATCCATGGCTACCTTAAATGCTGGTGGGGCAGCTGTAACTTCTTCGAATGCCAAATGCCAGGGAGGAAAGACTTATATCTTCTCCTGTCTAGACTGTTTCTTGGATCTCCTTGGTTGTACATATCCTCTTGGTTTTAGCCACTTGTTTAGCAAAAGAAGTGTTGGGTTTATGCAATTTTTAAAGGCCATATTGTATTAAAAAAAAAATTTGAATAAATGAAACACAAACGCAGTGGGAGTGAATTCCTCTTATGAATCATATTAGGCAAATGTTATTTACTGATACGCAAATTAGGCTCGATGTGCTAGGCCAACTGAGTTTGAAAAAACCCAAGGTACTTGGGCATATGGATGTAACCGAGAAGGTTTAGTAAGTTAGCCCTTGATGAAGTCGGAGTATGCCCGATGAGAGCCGAGAGACTGTGTGACATTTATGTGTGATGAACAGCATTTAGAGACATGGCTAAAACTTTATCGTTATATCATCACACGGAATGTACATAGATAGTCGTATTGAGATTCACCATTTAGGGTGAAAAATGTACATTTGCGATAGATTATCCCAATGCACTATTGAGTTGTGGTTGCATCATGGTCTGGCAGAATATGGTTTTGTCTCTAAGGGAGAACCTGAAATCTATACATTGGGATTACATCCTATAGTCTATTGACTGACTTTGGCGGTCAAATCATGAGCCTGTGCAGTAGACTGTTGGTCATGGGAACTATTTGGTTAGTTTGAGAAAGCTAGATGGCTCATGGTCCGCAGTTGAAAGTGGAGTGTTCATGTGCATTGATAAATTCCTAAACCTAAATAAACCTGATTCCCATCAAAATTAATTAATTTTATATTATGTGATTTTTAAAATGTTTATTTGAATTTTTGTAAATCTTCTGATATTTTATTTTTGTTGTTTGAATTTATAAATTAAGATAAAGTCATTTTTTCAATGTTTTAAATAAACTATGAAATTTAAAATTCTAAAATTCAAATTTTGTATTTTTTAAAATTATGTGGACTTTTTATAAAATATGGGGACCCATTTTATACATGTGGTAATTGGGTGGGCCTATGAGAGGCCACCAAGGGGTGGTACGCCCCACCTATAGGGATTATTTGATCATCAAGTTAGGTGATGGTTATCCTGGTTATCCCATATTAGTTGGTTTTTTATTTTTCGGATATAGTCAACTTGTATAATAAATTCAAATATTTTAAATATTTAGTAAGTCTTGTTAATCAAGATTGTTTGATTCAAGAAATAATGAATGGATATAATAAATGAAAAAGTAAGAGATATATTATTCTTATTTAAAGATTTGATGGGAATATGTTTAAATAAATAGAGGATAAGGTTCTAGCACATTATTTTAAATCTTGATGGTGGTTCATAAGAATGGATGACTCACATATTTCACCCCACAAGTCTCTTTAGATTGACAGTCAATATTTGATCTTACTAATCATGAGATACCTTAAGGCATAGAAAATATATACATAGATGATCTCCCACCCCATAATTCTCTACGCCTCTTCACTCTTCGCTCTCTAAGAATTGTCTCTCTCTCTATCAAAGTCTCAAGAGGGTCACGCCACTTAAAAAGTACATCTCTCTCTCCCAAGTCTCAAAGAGGGGCCACGCCCCAACCTAGAAAGATTATCTCTCCTTCATCAGGTTTCAAAGGTGGCACGCCCAAGATTTTTTTGATCTCTCTCTCTTGTAGGGCACACCTAAACTAGGCTAAAGTTTATGGGTGGCAAAGAGGAGGATCCCCTAGCTAGTAGATCTCACCCTCTCTCTTTAATTTTTATCTCTCATCTCTCTAAAGATCAAACAGTTTGTCTCTCTCTCCCAAAAGAGAGGCCACGCCGCAACCTTGAAAGATCATCTCTCCCTCCGGGTTCCAAAGGTGGCACGCGCAAGATTTTTTTGATCTATCTCTCTCGCTCTTGTGAGGCACACCTATGCTAGGCTAAAGTTTGTGGGTAGCTAAAGGGAGGATCCTCTTGTTAGTAGATCTCTTCCTCTCTCTTTATTTCTTTTTTTCATCTCTCTAAAAATCAAGCCAATGGGCCTTGAGCATGACTAATGCATTGAGTATTAGGTAGTTAATTCGAAGGTAGTTGGTTCAAGAGATCGAGCCAGGGGGGCTTGAGCAAGACTACAATATTAAGGCTTTAGGTAGTTGGTTCGAAATCGATATCTATATGCCATTGAAATGGTTTTTGTCATAAGTAAGAGAATCAAAAGAACGATCACAGATCTCGAGCACCTACGGAAGAAGGAAACTCGATGTGGGTTTTACTAAGTCCAGTTGAAGTAATCTCTGACAAATTTACTTCTTTAAACCTTTATTTGTAATTTTCTCCTCTTCCTATAAAACAATGAGTCTAGTTTTGATTATTGAATAAAGTGTTGTATTTAAATAGGTAGCAAGTGAATACGTCGTCCTTAATCACAAAGTCCTTCTTTCAAGAAAACCATGGCCTCTTGAATCCCTTGCAGATTACCATTTGTGTGATGCCTAGTTTTTATGGTTCGCATACTCTACATGTTTCATTTGGGATCCCAACAAATGCTCGAAAGCCATAGGATTCTTGAATTCATGGAAAGCATTGGATTCCACTAACGCTATGGCGAATCCAATGGTCAGTTTAGATTTTTATTCCCGACTTAATTTAGGACGATGAGATCTTAACATTACTTCGCTTGTTAGGGTTGAACACTTCCAGTCACATGTCCAGAGGACTGCAATTGGGTGGCTTCTTTTTGTTTTTGGGTAAGTAAAAGGTAAGTTAACGGGGATTTGAATCAATACCCTTTGGTGAGAATGGAGTCAGAGACTTCATCATAGGGAACATGGGTGGTTTTTTGCCTATCAAAGGTGCGAGTCTAATGCATTTTCTTTTATAAATTTCAATTTTTGATGGTGAATACTTCGAAATTCAAAAACCACAAAATGTTTTCTTCAAATTCATTGGTCGAAATACCAATTGGTTGATTCAGTTTCTAAACTACTAACTTGAAATAAGCAGGTCTCCATTTTTTATGATATTCTCTAGAGGTGTTCTATGAACTTTTCTTGAGGAAAGAAATATTAGAAAATGAATAAGTTTTTTTACGGCAAAAGGAATAGTTATAGTCATTGAAAGAGAAAAATGGAACGCCTCCCCGGTTATTATCATACATGACAATTGTCAATTTCATAATTTCACTTTTTAAATCTGGAAGGATTTATATATATGGTTAGTTTTAGTTAGGAGCATATTGGTTTTTAATTTCAAAGCCCATGACATTTTTCATGTTTTCCGAATGAGAAACTCATTTTTTTCAGGGTGAGTTCTTGTTGGATTTTTTCTCAGTAAGCTAACCTTGTTTTTCCGGTGTTTGCAGAGCTTTCCAAACTGAAGAAGCTCCAACAATTGGATTTAGGGTCAAATTTTTTCTCTGGTACGCTGCCTGTAGAGATAGGTTTGCTATCATCTCTTCGTACACTTGATCTAAGCAATAACAAACTACAAGGCAGCATACCTCATTCCTTGGGGAACTTGTCCTCACTTGTAGAACTCTCTCTCGGAGACAATCACCTTACAGGATCCATCCCGCAAGAGATAAGTAAGCTTGAAAATTTGGAGCGTTTGGATATCTCCAATAATTCCTTATCAGGTGACTTCTTTTTTTCTTCCCACCTTGATAGAGTGGACCTTTCGCATAACAGCGGGTTGGTCATTTTGCAAGGAAGTGACTTCAATCCGCTTTCCAACTTTCGGAACTCCAATTATCGTACTGCGACATGAGCAAATTCGACATTTGTACGTCCTTTCTTTTCACTCAGCACTCTTTCGAAGTCATCTATTTCTCGTATGCTAAATTGTCAGGGACTATCCCACCATGGCTTCCACAACTTTATGGTTTCGGCTTCTCATATAACAATTTTAGTGGAGAGAAACCTAAGAATTTCTCAATCCATTTTCGGGACCTGGATATTTCACACAACTTTCTAACTGGGGACATAGCTTCTATCTTGAGTGGTTTCAATGTCCCTCGGTTCAATTCTTTGGATATGTCCTTCAACAAGTTTTATGGAAGATTACCATCTAATATGACCGGCAAGTTTTTGTCTCTAGACTTGTCAAACAACAACATATCTGGAAATCTACCTCTTAATCTTACTCGCGCGTATAAGCTAGAACATATGAATTTGTCAAATAACTCTTTAGATGGACCTGGCGGTCCGAAAACTTCTACCTCTCAAGCATACAGTCCATACATTTGGAACACAATGCATTTCATGGAACAATACCCGAGAATCTGCTTCTTTACAGCCCCTTTCTAATGGTCATTGACATCGGCGCCAATTATATCTCGGGTCTCATCCCAAGAGAGATCGCAGAAATCTCTCATTTACAGGTCCTAATCTTGAAAGAAAACCGGTTTGAAGGTAATATACCTGATGAAATATGTCGATTACAGCAACTGGCCATTTTAGATCTATCGGAAATCAACTTTGAGGGATCCATACCTTCTTGCTTCCATAAGAACTCTGCTTGGGTAAATGGTAGCAGATCCACTATAAGTGCTAGCTGGGATTCACATGTGGGTTTGGAAAGTGAATATGTTGAGGTGGTCAATTTCAAGAAGGGCAATGAGTATGGATACAGTGGAATAGTTCCATCTGTTATAACAGGAATCGAGCTCTCTTTGAACCATCTTAGCGGCCCCATCCCAATGGAGATTGGCCTCTTAAAAGGACTTATTGTATTGAACATTTCCAAAAATCTTCTAAATGGGACGATCCCGGATTCGTTTTCAGAGTTGTCTCGGATTGAAGTACTGGATCTCTCACAATATGCTCAAGGGCAGGATACCATCTGATTTAGGTTCCCTAACTTTTTGAAGCCAATTTTCAGTTGTATATAATGATTTAGAAAGTGCAGTTCCCATTGTAAACAATTTTCAAACCTTTGAAGAAAGTTCCTATGGTGGAAATCCTAAGCTTTGAGAGTGCTCTGGAAATCCTAAGCTTTGCGGTTATCCAAGGAAAAAGTGCACTCAGCTAGAAGAGGAAGACAAGGAAAATGAGGAGAAAATTTCAATATGGGTGGGGTACAAGCCTGTGCTCTATGCTTGCATTGCCACAGGGTTTATAGTTGGTTTTTGGGGTGTACTTTGATTTCTTTTTCTCAGCAGGAAGCGGAGGTTTGCATGGTTTAGGGCCATAGATGGACAGATTCATCGTGTTTTCTATGGTCATGAGTGACGTGTTATGCTTTTTTTTTTTTAAGATGTGACGGTATTTTGATCATTTTATTTTATCAATAAAATTGTGTTTTTTAAATGTGATTTCATAAGGCACATTAAAAATCTTAAGCTTTTCTTTATGTTTGTATTTTTATTTTTAAAATTTCCGTCTGGTATGGCACAGACTGGCCAAATTGGGTCGGGCCACCTAGCCAATGGCCGCAGTTCAGCATGGGCTACGGCCTCTTCTACTTGAACCGGATCTAGGCTCTAGGAACTGGGCTGGCCTTATTCATAAGGCATCCTCTCATCCAGGGGAATCTCAAATGAGATACCATAACAAGCATATTTCATAACTTTATAATGGGATCGGGATTGGGAGTGTAATAGATGAGGGGAAATGGAGGAGTTAAAAAGAGAATAGCACGTGGGTCGTCTTTCATTCTACCAAGAGTGAATTACATCGGACACAAAAGGAATATTGAAAATATAAAATAAGTTAATTCTGAGTTAAAATTAAATTAAAGGTCAGCCAACATAAGGTTTTCAGTTTTTTTTCAAAATTGTCTCTTAGTTTGATGAACCGCTTTCTTTCTTCGTTTTAATCTTTTTCGATAGTAGGGTTATGCCGTAATGTTTGGGGCACTGCCAAGTCTGTTCGGTCTTATCATCGGACCGCCTTCTGTAGTGCTCTTCAAAACAGTTTGAGATTGGCATCCTTAGACCGTAATGACTAATTGGGTTAAGCATTTAGAGACCATCAGAGCTACCCATTCTCGAAACATCTTCTCTAGTTCTCTTTAAGGCGGTCCAAGTTTGGCATCTTCGGACTGTATTAGCTCATTTATTTATAAAAAATAAGGAGGTCTGAGGATGCCAACCTCACACTACCTTCTGGATTGGGCATTGCCGCTCACACTAGGGCACTGCCCTATCAACGAAAAAAATTTTTTAAAAAAAAAACATTAAAAAAGCTGTCTGAAAATGCCACTCGAACCTACGGGCAATCTTGAAAAAAAAAACATAAAAAAAAAAAGGGTTGATCAACCTTCCACTTATTTTTTTACTAAAATTCACTCAATTCGTATTTTCATTTTTTTTATCTGTGAATAAATTACTCTTATAAAAATTGACGGCTTATTCATCAAAATGAACTCTTGGATATTAAACAGTGGGCTATTAGGGGAAGAACTTAAATGATGGTCCGACGTATTACTGTATTATGTTTCATTAGAATTCTATTGGAAAATATAAAAATGGTCAAGGCTTTCCTTGAAAAGATAAATATGATATTCTAGGCTGTGTTTTGAGTAATGGATTATTTGCTCTCAATTTGAAGATTAGGGATGATTTTTAATAGTGGAAAATATCTAGAGAAAATTAATCAAGGAATAAAGTCTGGTTGTGCGTTAATATGGAAAAAATCATATATTAGTATCTCACAAAAAAATACAGTTTTAGTGCTTAAAAACGCTCAAATTGATCATATCAACCTCAATAACTATGAATATGAGAAAAATAGATTTCAAGCTCAAAAAATAATATAATCCTCATCAAGTGTTTAACACATCTAAGAAATAAAATTGTATAGAGGAAACTAGGAACTTCATTGAGAAGTGCAGTTTCAATACTTAAAATCCTCAAATTGCTCATGTTGACGTTGATAATTATGCATAAGGTCCTCAAATTGCTCATGTTGACGTTGATAATTATGCATAAGGAAAAGAACATATTTCAAGCTCCAAAATTGGCGTATCTTGTAATTGCCCTTATTTAACAGGTCCACACAATTTCTATATCAATGCATAAGCTAATTTTCCACACCTTATGAAAAATTTAATGGAGTATACTAAGATTTTTTGGGAGTACAAATCCCACAAGAAAGAGTAACAAGTACCATGGTATTGTAATTTTTTTCTTGTTTTTTTCGAGGGGGTGGGGGGGGGGATAAGGCAGTGGGGATGAGGAGCACCAATCCATTTTTTTTCAAAATAGTCAGTTTTTTAATTTGTTAGTGAGAATGGAGGTCAAGACCTTTAATTTGTTTGTGAGAATAGAGGTCAAGGCCTTTAACTGGGGCTTAGGTGGTACTACCACTACAAGCCTAGCCCATTCCCAAGGATACTGTAGTTATAAGAGATTTAAATAAATAAAAGTGTGTAACGAAGAGAGTTTTGGCTGAAAATCTGGTCAAGGCATATTCATCGATCGTGGGTTTTGCATATTTCACAAATTCTCAAATTATCATAACATCATACATGTTCAAAATCAAACAATTAACCTTAAAAGTTTATTTTATTTTATTTTCATTGGATTTATTTTTAAATTTTCATTTTATCTAGGTACTCCTCTATAATACTTCCTTTTCAGGATTAGAACCCTAAACAAGCAGCAACATTGTAGTGATTTGATCCACCTAAGATACCTCAATCAAATATGGATGTATACTACTTGATCAGGGTGGGTCAAATTATTGAAATTTCCTTACATGTTTGGGGTTCCCAACCATTAATAAGGACATGCTTTTAGATATTTTTTAAGGAGATGCATGAGTGAAATAAAAATTAAAAATGAATCCTTGGTAATTGGAATATTCACTTTGTGAGGGATTTTTTGCCCCTTAAATAATGACATTTTCCTTAACTTTTATGGTAACTTCTGTAGTTGCTCTTTAAATGGATATATCTTGACATGCATGCTGGGTGCAAGACCCAAAATCTTTGTTTTTTTAAAATTGGAAATATTTTTGTAATATTTTGTATTTTGGTTGGTCGATCACTATTTCAAAGGTAGGAAAGGTGTACAAAGATAATCATTTACTTTTAATATAATCACTCTTTTCCATCAAATTACAAATCAGGTCGTGTGAGTGTGTTTTTCATTGGACTCAAAAGTTTAAAAAAAAAAACGAAAAAAAAAAAAATTTCTTGAACTTCATGATACCCCCATAACATCGAGTGATTATAACAAAGATGATTCGCTTCATAGGATACAGTCCTCATTTAGAAAACCTTGCCGCAGTAAATACCAAGGGAAGAGGTCTCTACCACGAGTAGAACGGAAATTTGTTATCTACTTTTGTTAGTTTTATCCATTTGGATGAAAGTTTTGCCAAAATTAAAGGAAGCGTTTATGGCAACATTATTTATATATGAGGGAACCCTTATGTAGGTCGTCTTTTTTTGGAATAATAATTTGGAGCAAAAGTAAATTTTGGATAAATAAACATATAAGATGAACCAATTTTATTTTGACATCTAATGAGTGGGAAAGATTGTTACCTCCATGTACCAAAGATAAATGGTCTCTTTGTTGACAATTACTTTCGAAATACTCTCTACTACTATTTCACATGGGTGAGCAAGTGTATCGCTTACAGAAAAAATGGAATTACCATATATTTTTCTACATTATAGAGCAATCTTAGTTGTAAATTCTTGATTAATTTTCTAAAGAGTGTTTTGGAGATATGAATAATTCAGTTCTTCCTTTTACCACAGTTATGCCTATGTTAGCCATTCACTAATTGTACAATTTACAAAAATGTCACAAATAACAAGGACCTACTAATTGTTCAATCTTTTGTCTGGATGGCTTCTCTACAAACCAAAAAAACATTTGAAGGAAGGAGTATTTTCTCGATGTGGTCATAATGTAAATCAACACTTGTTAACAACATAAAACAGAGATTAGAGCTGAATATATTTTGGGGGATAAAAAAAGGTGAGATTTATATAAGGTGTCAGCTTTATATTCTTGAGGCAAGGCGCACCTCAACACTTAGTCGAACGATGTGGTTTCGGTGTTAAAAAGCATTTCAATGGTACGAAAATCTATTGTTACCCCTCATAATGAAATTTAGAGCTTCAAAAATGATCTAGATCGAGTATATTTATGAACAACAATGTTTTTTGAAAATGGATGGTTCAGATAATGCATCATGAAATGCCCTATTTTCATGACTTTAAACTTTTTCTTCTACTTCTTCTTCTTTTTTTTTTTTTCGTTCTATATCTATACATCTTGAGATCGAGCTGATTAATTTAAGGGTTTTTCGGTATTGAAACATTTTTTCTATAGGTTTTTCAGGTTCACTTTCCTTCAATAATATAAAGTCGACATCTTGTATAAACCTTTTCCTTAAAAAAAAAAAAAAAAAAAAGGTGGATCCTCTTTCTTTGCAAATACACAAGTTGACTGTAATTGAGAATATTAAATACTAAAATAACCTTACACATACCTAAAATTATTCCAACTAACGAAATAAGGTAAAGCGAAGAGTATTTAACCATAGCAACGGCCGCACCAAATTAGTATTTCAAAGTCCATCGATTCCGATCAATTCGGATTGGAAATCGTTAATCTAGAACGGTAATCATTCAACTCAAGCCGATTCTAGGCAAGTATCGAAAATCGGCCCTAGCCCTTCTAAAAACCCCTTCTACTTGGGTTTGGCTTTCTTTTCGTTTCCCTCGCCATTTCATTACTTTACACTACTACCCCCTTTTGTAGGTGTGTTAGAGCTCATTTCCTCTCTTTTTTTTTCACAATTTTTTATTCAGCCAAATCGGATCCAGCGGATCACGACCGGGACTCGGTAGACAAATGATCCACCCCATTGATCCATGTTTTAAAAACCTACTCTAGACTATACAAGACACCATGCGCATCTCATGATGTGTGGTTCCAATGTGAATCACAGCTCAAAACACATTGGACGGTGGAGATCAAATGGATGAAACGCACTAGCATACAAGACACCGACACTCACCAAGGAAGGATCATGGAATAAGCTTTCCTAGTAAGAATGGTATTGAACCCATTCTCTATGTTGCAACATTAAATGAGAGGCCGCGGTTGTCACTGATTCTGGCTAACAATATTGCAGCCAATGCAATGCACCTGCAAGTAGAGTCGCCATCTGGGTCGGGTCGAGTAGGTCTCAACGCACGGCTTGGCCTAAGGCCGGGTCTAGAGTCTGGACCCATTTTAAGGCCCACGGGATGACTTGGACATGATATGCTAGACCTGAACAATTTTTAGGTTGGGTGAGGAAACTTGGGCCCAGCCCGATCCTAATCTAAAATTGTATATAACATATGTTTAGGACAATTGATTAGACTAGTTCGAAATATCAACTTTTTTAACTCACGATTGCGTCTCCTTGAAGAGATTTTTAAAATCCAATAAAAAATTAGGTGGATACACAGCACAAAAAATAGGGACAAGCTTTGCCCAATCTAATTTTTGGGGCATGCCTGAACCTTAGTGATACAACTCGGGCCCAGGCCAATTTACAAGTTATAGTTTAATTTTGGGCCTGAGCCTAACCAAAAAATTCTGGCCAAGCTCATGCCAATGCTGACCGGACTGTTGGCAGATCTAGTGGCATGCTTTGATTGAGATAAAAACAAAATTATTTTTGAAACTACTTGTTTGTAATCGCTGCTATAAAAGTATTTTAAGTGGGCAGCTTGATTAGGATTACAAACTAAAATAAAAGCATTTTAGGCTATTTTAAACAAAATTGTTCAAGAGGTACCCAAATGAAAGCTTTCTAGAAAGCAGTCAAAGTTGTTGGTAAAATTGTTGATTTACCCACTCATTTAATTTGGAAAATGGTTTGATAGGATTGCAGCTCTATTAAAACAAGTAAAGCCTCACGTCATAACTCATCAAAAATTAAAAAGCCTTTACATCAATCATCTTGACTTGAACATTATGGTTATGAAAAATAATAATTTCAAGCTCTAAAAATAATATATATTGTAACAAATTATCTTGATTGTCTATCTCGCCCTAGAAATAAATGTTCATATATAAGTAAAATATGTGCCATTTTTTAGTTTCGAATTTCATTGACAGTATTGGAAATTAATTTTAGAGGTATCATGGAGCTTTTTATTGCCGATAGTGCTTTCCGAATGAGGATTTGATGTGAGAGTTTATTTTATTTTAATAAAGCTTTGGCGATATAGAAACCTTATCTTCCAAGAAGATTTCCAAAATCTCCTACTCTTTTAACCTAGTGATGTTATTTTTATTTTTTTATATAAACATTCATATTATAATAATTTTTTCATTACTTTTCTTGTAAACGTTAGACATTAATACCTTATTTGACTCGGAGACTCCAATAACACCAACAACAAGTATAAGTTTGTACAATTGTTGACTCGGAGACTCCGGGATAAGGTCCCACACGGTTAATGGGACCCTCTTATTTGAAGTATTCAACATCTCATCCGCCTTTAATCTTCTTCCCATAAAGAACGTATAACAAGTGGGTATGTTGTGCTCCCGCAAGAGCATATAATATACATTTACTTCCTTCGGGTGAAATATTTTCAATCTTAAATTATAGGATCAACCTACAAATCACCAGATGACCATTTTCCAAAAGTAATTTGGATTTTGACTTATGCGTAAAAATCACTCTCCAAAAATTGGAAAGTCTCTATTAGGAAGATAAATTTTTCAGGCATTTACAAAGTGCAATTTGAAAATTTTCTTTGGAGGTTAGTTGCTAGATTGAAGAAATTACATCTCAAAAATTTGAGATCTTAAAATTAGAGGTGGCAATCGGTCGGGTCTACCTGCCAAGTTGATGGGTCAACCCGACACGGGCCCCAATTTGGACCAAAATATTCTGCGCAGTGGGTTAGGTTTGGAGTTTAAAATTTTATAATTAGATATAAAAATCAATTTTGAGATAATCTTAATAAATTTTTACACCAAAATTTTATGTTATGATAAAATTTGGAGGTGCGCCTTAATTGGATTGTTTAATGTTACAACTTTATAGAAGCCACACCCATATATATATATATATATATATATATATATATATATTATGAAATATTTAAAATAAATACTAATTTTCTTTTATCTGGAACCAAATTTGATCCAACCTGGTTGGTTGGGTCTGAGTCTAGTGACCCAGACTCGACACAGGTGTTAGTTGGGTATGGGTCCAGCTAAAACCGAGTTGGGAAAAGTCCGGGTTGGGATCGAAGCAGACTGACCCAAAACATCAAAACCCTACTTAAAAGTGCTCCCCCAAGGAAGTAAAGAGACAGTATGCTCCCACGAGTACACAAAAGTACTTCAGCATATATGATAATCCATTGCTACCTTGACTGCTGGGGAACAGCAAATTTTGGAACTTTTTCAAACGCCCAATGCCAGAGATGAAAGACTTATATCATTTCATGTCTGGACTGTTTATCGTGTTGCTTCTCCTTGGGCATTATTCATACAGGACTTATCATTTGGTTTAGCAACTTTTTAGCTAAAGAAAACCATGGCCTCTTGGTTCTCTTGCAGAAAACCATCTGTGCCATTCCTGGTTTTTATGATAAGCATACTCTATATGTTTCTTTTGGGATCACCTCAATGTTTAGAGAAAGAAGTAGCAGCTCTTTTGGAATTCAAGGCCTCCCTCGTTCATCCCAATAAATCCACGGAAGCTGAAGCCATCAGATTCTTGGATTCATGGAAGGGATTGGATTGTTGTGCTTGGAATGGTGTCACGTGTTGCGACATGGACTACACTAAGTGTGATTCCACTAGCTCTATGGCGAATCGGGTGGTCGGTTTGGAAGTTTTTTCACGATCTGATTTTGGGAGAGGAGATCTTAACGTTTCTTCGCTTGTTAGGATTGAACACTTACAATCACTCATTCTAGAGGACTGCAACATGGGTGGCTTCTTGCCCATCAAAGGTGCGAGTCTAATGCATTTTCATTTGTAAATTTAAAGTTTTGATGGTTAATACTTCAAAATTCATAATGGGCAAAATGTTTTCTTAAAGTTCATCGGTCAAAATACCAATGGGTTGTTTCAGGTTCTATATACTACTGACTTGAAATAAGCAGGTCTCCATGTTTATGATATTCTCTAGAGGTGTTCTATGAAAAAGGATGCTCTATGAACTTTTCTTGAGGAAAGAAACGGGAGAACATGAATAAATGTTTTTACGGTAAAAGGGATAGTTATAATCATGGAAATAGAAATATGGAAGGCCTTAAATCAGGGAGGAATTATGTATGCTGTTAATTTTAGTTAGGAGCATATTGATTTTATTTCAAGGCCAACGACATTTTTCATGTTTTCCAAATGAGTAATTCTTTCTTTTGAGTGTGAGTTCTTGTTGGATTTTTTTCTCTAAGCTAACGTTGTTTTTCTGGTGTTTGCAGAGCTTTCAAAGCTGAAAAAGCTCCAGGGATTGAATTTAAAGTCAAATTTTTTCGCTGGTACACTGCCTGTAGATATAGGTTTGCTATCATCCCTAAAGTATCTTAACTTGCATGGCAATGAACTTACTGGAACAATACCCTCTTCTTTAAAAAACCTTTCCCATCTTGTAAATCTTGATTTAAGCAATAACAAAATTTTTGACAAGATGCCCCCATGGTTTGGTAGTCTACCATCTCTTATTATACTTGGTCTAAGCAATAACAAACTACAGGGGAGCATACCTCATTCCTTGGGGAATTTGTCCTCCCTTGTAGAACTCTCTCTCAGAGACAATCACCTTACAGGATCCATCCCGCAAGAGATAAGTAAGCTTGAAAGTTTAGAGCGTTTAGATATCTCCAATAATTCCTTATCAGGTTACTTCTCTTTTTCCACCCTATCAAATATTTCCCACCTAGACATTGTGAGCCTTTCGCATAACAGAGGGTTGGTCATTTTGCAAGGAAGTGAATTCGACCCATCTTTCCAAATTTCGGAACTCCGATTATCGTATTGCGATATGAGCAAATTTGACCTTAGTACATCCTTTCTTTCCACTCAGCAATCTTTGGTAAATGTCTATTTCTCGTATTCTAAATTGTTAGGGAGTATCCCATCATGGCTGCTACGACTTACAGGTGGGACATTGGTTATGGATGGGAATATGCTCAGTGGACCACTTGTTTCACCTCAGGCTCCTGCTGGCCTTTATAATTTGGACATCTCATATAACAATTATAGTGGAGAAATGCCAAAGGATTTCTTAAAGTCACTCCCTCAGTTGGGGTCACTGGATATTTCACACAACTTTCTAACCGGTGACATCAGTTCTATTTTAACTAGTTTCCCTAGACTCTCTTTTTTGGATATGTCGTTCAACAAGTTTTATGGAAGATTACCATCGCATATGACTGGTGATTTTTGGTCTCTAGACTTGTCAAACAACAAAATATCTGGAAATCTACCTCCCAATCTTACTCGCACAGATACACTAGGATATCTGAATTTGTCAAATAACTCCTTAGACGGACCCTTGCTGTCGACGAACTTCAATCTCACACGCATACAGTCCATACATTTGGATCACAATGCATTTCATGGAACAATACCTAAGAATTTGCTTCTTTACAGCCCCCTTCTAATGGTCATGGACATCGGAGCCAATTATATGTCAGGTCTCATCCCTAGAGAGATTGCAGAAATCACTAGTATACAGGTCTTGATCTTGAAAGAAAACCGGTTTGAAGGTAATATTCCTGATGAAATATGTCGACTACAGCGACTTGCCATTTTAGATCTATCAGAAAACAACTTTGAGGGATCCATACCTTCTTGCTTCCATAATAACTTTGCTTGGATAAATGGTAGCACATCCTCTAGGGGGGATCCATTGCATGTGGGTCAGGAAAGTGGATATGTTGAGGTGGTCAATTTCAACAAGGGCAATGAGTATGGATACAGTGGAATAGTTCTCTCTGTTTTAACCGGAATTGATCTCTCCTTGAACCATCTTAGCGGCCCCATCCCATTGGAAATTGGCCTCTTAAAAGCACTTATTGTATTGAACATCTCTAACAATCATCTCAATGGGACGATCCCGGACTCATTTTCAGAGTTGTCTCAGATTGAAGCTCTGGATCTCTCGCATAATGGGCTCAAGGGCAGGATACCATCTGAATTAGGTTCCCTCACCTTTTTAAGTCAATTTTCAGTGGCATATAATGATTTAGAAGGTGCAGTTCCCTTTGTAAACAATTTTAGAACCTTTGAAGAAAGTTCTTATAGTGGAAATCCTAAGCTCTGTGGTTATACAGGGAAAGAGTGCTCTCAGCTCCCAAAGGGAGACGAGGAAGATGAGGAGAAAATTTCAAGATGGGTTGGGGACAAGCCTGTACTCTATGCTTGCATTGCCACAGGGTTTATAGTTGGCTTTTGGGGTGTACTTTGGTTTCTTTTTCTGAGCCAGAAGTGGAGGTTTGTATGGTTTAAAGCCATTGATGGACTGATTCATCACGTTTTTTGGGGTCATGAGTGACTTACTAATGCTTCTTTTGCATGTTGTAGTAGAGATATTTTTAACATTTTATTTTATCATAAATATTTTTTTCTTTTTATAGGTGTGGCCTAATGCGATGGTGGCGCACCAAATTCCATGTATGTGTGATTTGTAGAGAAATGAAAAATAAGAAACATGGAGCCATTCATACACATATGCAATAGAAATTGAAAGAAAACAAAATTAGCTCCCCCAAAAGTAAGATGAGCAGACCCAAAATTAGCTCCCTAATGATTCCAACTCCTATTCTAATTATTTTAACACCATAAAAACTGACATAGTAATATTTATTTTTTTATATGCTTTATTGTATGTTTTCCACTCATACACATATACATCGACTTTGGCATAATATTTGTGTTTTATACTTCTTGGTTCCACTGCACGCATTCGCATTCGCATTCGTGCGAGAGGATTCTAAGTGGGTGCATTCGCATTCGTGCGAGAGGGTTCTAAGTGGGGGAGCCCAACAATTGAATTGTCATTTCGTAATACATTTAACTGTCGCATATACTTACTTTGATAAGTGTGACAATAATTTATAATTAGAGCCAGCAATGGGCCGGAAGGCTTGCCTTGTCCCGGTTGGCCCAACCCTAGAGACCAAAGGCAGGACCAAAAGCTGGCTAGGCTACTAGGGCTAGGTTCGGCCACCTAGCCAATGGCTCCAATTGGGCTTCAGCTCTGTTTGAACTGGATCTAACCTCTAGGGATGGGTTGTGCCCTGGCCCCGCCCAACCCTACTCATAATGCATCAAAACTGTACAATTTGACCAGGATGGTGAGTTTTAATAAAAGGGGTAAAATGAATGGTTTTTATTTTTTTGGTAATTCAATGGGAAAGACAGCCCCTGACCATTTTTTCCAATAACTTTAGAGTTAGTTTTTTGAAAGAAGATATTATTGGAGTGATGTCAGTGAGAATGAAAAACACAACGTGGTGTCCAAGGTTATGGTACGGGGGTGCTACCACCGATCCCAGCCCATTTCCAAGGGGGAATGAAGGTGTTGGATGGAGAATGGCATGTGGGTCGTCTTTCATTCTAAAAATTGATGGCTTATTAGCCAAAGTGAACTTTTGGATATTAAAGAGTGTGGCTATTAGGGGAAGAACTTAAATAATGGTACGGGGTATGACTGTATCTTTCTTCTTAAATTTTCTCGGAACATATAAAAATGGTTAAGGCTTTCCTTTAAATATTTTAGGTTATGTTTTGAGTAATGGACTATTTGCTCTCAATTTGAACTCAAATTCTCTAGGGCTGTCAATGGGCTGGGTGTCTAGGGCCCGCAAAGCCCTGAAAACGTAGGACCTGGGCCACAAGTTGTGGCCTAAGGGCTGGGCTAGAGCTCCATTCGGCTCGGTCCGGCATAACTCTCTTTTTTTCTTTTCTTTTTTTTTCCCTTTGTTTTTCTTTTAAGTTTTTTTTACTTGTTTTTGGCCCAGCCCGGCCCTAACAAAGTCTGAGCGAGGCCTAAGTCGGCCTTATATGGACATGGGTCGTGCCAAGGCCAAGGCTAGCCCCGCCTGGTCCCAATCATTGCCTTCTCAATTTATTGTAGCCTCCCACCATATCAAAATCAAACAATTTATATTAAAGGGTTTATTTTCTTAATTTTAATTGAATTTATTTTGTAATTTCCATTTTATCGAGGCATCCCCTAGGAAATATCTCCTTCCTTTTCAGGATTAAAACCCTTAAACAAACAGAAGGCATTTTAGTAATTTAATCTGCGTAAGAGTGTACCCTTGCCTGTTTAGGGAATGTCCCTACATATTTAGGATTCCTGGCCATAATTAAGGAGAATTTGAGCATGTTTTATATATTTTTTGGGGAGATGTATGAGTGAAATAAAAATTTAAAAATAAGCCCCGGTATTAGGGATATCCATTTTGTAGCGGTCTTTTGGCCCATTAAATGACATTTCCTGTAACTTTTATGGGAATTTAGGTTTATCTATTGGAAAACGTTTATATAAGGTTGAAACTTTAAATTGTAGAATTAAGGCACACCTTAAAAATCCATCAAAAAAAGACTATTTTGATATTGGAAAACCATCTAATTGATCATCTCGAAGTCGAGATCTATGCATAAGGAAAAAAAAAAGAGGTTTCAAGTCCAAAAAACAGTATGTCTTGCAACACTATATAGATCCTTTGTTTTTAAAATTTTCATGCTTTTATAGATCTCCTTGATTTGTTAGATTAACATTTTATAATTAGAGATAAAAATATAATCTCAAGCCATCTTAAGAATTTTCGACAAAAAAATTGCGTCCTATGACAAAGTTTGGAGGTGCGCCTTATTTTGATTGCTTAAGGTTGTAATGTTATGTAGAATTTCTTTTATATGTATGTATGTATGGAAAAAGCTAACAGCTATAATGAATACATGCAAACTATCACTTTTGTGCCATTCATTTTAATTTTTCAAAGATCAGCGACTTACGATGTGTTTCAATCCCTATAGCTATAAAAACCGTAGTGCTATCATGCATCAAATGATGCACAAAAAAACTACCCAAAAGAAAAAAAGATTTTACTAGATTTTTTGTGATAAAATAATTTTATTTGATATTTTGAAAATAATGAAAATTAAAGAAAAATTACCAAAAAAACAGTGATTTTATTAGACTTTTTTTTGAGACTCTATATAATGAGGAATTTACCTAATGTATAAAGATGTCACAATTACTTATAACTATCCGATGTGAAATTTAATAGCTTGGATGTGTCACAGCGTTCGAGAAAATTGCTTTTGGACTTTCAGCTTGATCAATTAAATAAATATAGCCACCCAATTTCACACCCAATGGTCAAGATTAATGGTGACCGCCTTGGAAAATGCACTTCCAAATCAGGAGTTTGTTAACCATGATGGAAAGAGGAAGAGTTGGTTTGTCTTATAATACATTCAACTTGCAGCTATGTCAAAGAGAATAAATCACAAGGAGGACCACATTTGCATGAAAATAAAAAGTAGTTATGCTGCGATCTCAGCCTATATACTTCAAAGCATATTGAAGCTGGTTGCCTTGGATGTATCAAATATCTTCATCCCACAATTCCTCCACTGTCTTGTAAGGCCCATTGGGTGAAACAAAATATTGAGTTGGAAATACCTTCTTTTGTGGGAGTTCCTTGAAATTAAGTAGGTCCTCTTCATTGAGCTCCCAATCTAATATTTCTAGATTTTCCTTCAACCTATCTTTATTGAAGCTCTTTACCACCAATCCCACACCTTGTTGAAAGACCCATCTCAGAGAAACCTACAAAACCCATTTCAATTTCTGATCTTTTCCTTTTTTGAGTATTAAGAATCCATTCCAAATTCTTCAAAAGTTTTAAGTTTTCTCAACATTTTAGCATCTCAATATTAAGGCCATGGTTGTCAATCAGGCCAGCCTGGCCTTTGGGATTCCAAGCTGGGGCAGCCCTTAGGCTTGCCATAACTATAAACGTTTTTGGGCTTGGGCTGGTTCTCAGGCCTCAGGTGGCCTGAACCTAGCTTGTTAGCAGTCATGTTTGTGTATGGCTGGCAAATGGGCTTAGGCTAGCGGTGCTTGTGTGAGGCCTGAGAACAACTATAAAAGTTTGGGTCAACCTCGGTCTAACCCAGTCCAAACATAGCCTGGCCCATTGACAGCGCTAGCTAACATTTTACAATGTGTCATATGGCAAGTATGTTCTACAATGTGCATGTAGATCATTAATACAAATGTGCTCAGTTTCCTATAAATCGAATTTTTTATGCGACTATAAGTAAAGCGCTAGACCGTTTTTTGAAAGACATTTTGTTGGTATTTCAAATTTCGATATATCTTTTTTTCTCCTTTTTCTGTGCAAATATGAGAATGCATATTACGCTAGTCAGATGTTCTAGCCCTTTGAAGAAGTGCTCATATCATTTTGAATCGACTAGTTTGCTGCTGATGCAAAAAGCATGAAGAATTATTTGGGAAATAATCAAAGCATTTGTATGGTGGAAGATCTAGAAAGAAGAAATAGTAGAGTTTTTGAAAGAATGTATTGGAAGTGAAAGAATACAAATAATAATAATACATACATACAAGCGCAGAATGGATGGAATTCAGGGTTGTTTCAAGGAAAGATATGCTAAATAAACTGAGAGATTTGGGCCAAATGCAATCTTCAAGAACAAAAAGAAATTTGAATTGGTGGCCCCCAACTAATGAACTAAATTTGCATAGTAGGTCTAATGCTCACCGAGGAATCTCAGGGGTGGATGTTTTGATTAGAGATCAAAATGGGGTAATCAATATCATATATTCAAGGTCTGCAGATTACTTATTTAATCATAAGGTTGAGCATTTTTACAGGGTTAAAGCTCATGGAACAGTCATGCATAAATGTTATTGTTGAAGGTGATTAAATGGTGGAAAAAATGAGAGCATTCCATGGACGTAAATTCATTGTCTAATCAATTCTTGATTTATTTAGGGGGAGGAATATCATTTTTTTTGATGTGTTAAGAGAGACTAAGCAAGACCCTGATCTCTGATCAAAATAAGGTGTTATTTCCCAAAGTTCAATTATAAATAGAAATTAAATGATGTAAGGTACTCTTCATTATCTTTTTGAGCCACAGAGGGCAAGTTATGGTACCCTGTTCTTGTTGCTCTCTCCGCAACAATTTCCTTTCAAACATTTTTGTACTGAAGTAATGAAATGAACTATTGTGAATTTTTCAAAAAAAAAAGAAGAACAAAACATTTTTATCTGTCATTTGATGAGCCATTTGGAATTCAATCAAAAGGATGAGAGTTGATTGCAACTAGATCAAAGTATATGAGTAAGGTATTAAATAGAATCTTGAGTGTAATTTGATAAATTTTAAATACTTTTTTCGTAAATAAAACATGAGAGAGAGAGTCAGAGAGAGAGAGAGAGAGAGAGAGAGAGAGAAGTAATGTCTTACGTAGAGACGACGTACGTTTACGTTTTTCCGTTTCCGGACCCGTACGTACTTTACTTTACTAGTAGGAACGTAACCTTACACGTACGTACCGTAACG